AAAAAGTACTTTCTAATTTTTTTTATGAAAATGACATATGTCAACACAATATCACGTTGTACAAGATGAATTGAGGGATCTCGAAGAGAGTACCTGGGGTAACAATATTGAACATTAATAATACATTATACTGTAGTAAGTCTTAAAGAAACTTATTAACTTTCAAAGTTATTCATCAAAATGACCATCATGCTGAGACTCTAATGAAGGAAAAGTTGAGTACCTTTACATTACTACAATTAATACATAAAAGAAAATTTTGCATGAAAAATTCCCGGCACTTCATTTCGGGTTGTACAATACAAGTAAAAGAATAGTTGAATCACATATCGTAGCAAATAAAAATGTTTGCTAATTTTAATGATTTTATCATTTTGCATGATCAATTGGGTCATCCCATATTAAAATAATTAAGAATTCACATGGGCGCACCTTAAAGAGACCAAATATCCTTTACTCAAAGAAATTCTCTTATGGTGCTTGTTCTCAAGGGAAGTTGATCATTAAACCATCAACAATCAAGGTGAGAATTGAATCACCTGCATTTTTGGAATGTATACAGGGTGATATATGTAGACCAACTAAACCTGCATCTGGACTCTTTAATTATCATATGGTATTGATAGATACTTCTACAAGATGATCGCATGTTTGCTTATTGCCAACCAACATAACTTTTGTGCGATTATTGGATCAAAAAATAAGATTAAAACATAGTTTCAAGACTATACAATATAGACAATCCGTCGAGATAATGATGGTGGGTTTACATCTCAGACATTTAATAATGATTTATGCCTACAAGAATAACAATTAAACATCTAGTTTCTATTTCCATACTCAGCATGGTCTAGAAAAATCATTGATTAAACGTCTATGAATTACAGATAGGTCATTGCTAATGAGAACAAAGTTTTATGTGTCTATATGGGGCCATGCTATTTTGCATGCAATAGGACTTGTGTGCATCAGGCCGATCAATTATCATGAATTCTCCCCATTATAATTGACTTTGTTCAACAACCAAATATTTTCCATGTTTGAATTTTTGGATGTGTTGTGTATGTACCGATTGCTCCACCACAACTTACAAAGATGACCCCAAAAGAAGGTTTGGGATATTTGTTGGTATGAATTTCTTTCACTCAAAAGATATTTGAATCCTATGACTGAAGTTTCTTTAAGGCAAGATTTGTTGATTGTCATTTTTATGAATCAGTATACCCAACATTATGGGGACAAAAGACATTGTTCGGAATTTTTAATCACTTTCTCATTTGAATCCTCGAACAAATCTATGTGAGTAAGAAGTTCAAAAAATACTTTATTTACAGAATATTGTGAATTAATTGCCAAATGCTTTTACTAATCTTTCAAGGATTACTAGATCGTATATTTTAGTTGCTAATACTCTAGGACGAGTCGATGTCTTGACGAGACAAATTGTTCAGACAATTGAATCTAGACCACGTTTGATGCACGGTAGATCAATTTTTTCTAAGGATAAAAATCCTAAAAAAGTGTAAAGGAATAAATGATCGAGATGATAATGAGTTGAAACAAATTTTTCAACATGAGACCCTAGTCAGAAGACATGATGAAACCTCCGAGGAGGTTCAAATTTCTAAAAATAATGAGGATAAAGAAATTTCAATGAATTATGTCTCCACGAGAAAGAGGTAGAACTGAAATAATGTTGTGATTGACAATATATTTTTTTATGATGTTGTGGAAATAATGCAACAAGGTTTCGACCCAAAATCTGTTGACGAATGTAGATAGAAAAATGGTTGGCAAAATTGGAAGGACGCAATTCAAGAAGAATTGGCTTCCCTAAAAAATATGAAGTTTCCATAGCAATAATTCGAATACCTTAAGCTATAAAGCCAGTGGTTTACAAAATGGATTTTTTTTGTGTAAAAGAAATGAAAACGCCAAAGCCGTGAGACATAAAGCCTGTTTTGTTGCTCAAGGGTTTTCTTAAAGACTTGACATTTATTTCATAGATGTATACTCTCCTATGGAAGATGCAATCACCTTCAAATATCTCATAAATCTTGTAGTTCATGAAAAGATTGAAATGCGCCTAATGGACATTGTTACAACATATCTAATACGGCTCATTAGACCATGACATTTTTATGAGAATTCCTGAAGCATGCAAGGTGCCTGAAGCATACAAAGGTTCAAGAGAATCTTGTGAAAACTTTATATGGATTGAATCAGACGGGATGATGTGTAAAAATCGTATGAGTTAAAATTTACTAAAGAAAGGGTACAAAAACTGATCCAATTCGCCCCTGAATTTTCTTTAAATAGTCAAAATCTAAACTTATTATAATAGTTGTGTATGTTGATGACATGAACATCGTTGGCATTCGTAAAGAGCTTTTAGAAGACGTTGAGTGTTTGAAAAGGAAATTTAAAATGAAAGATCTCCGTAAGACAAAAATTTATCAGATTGAGAGTTTGTCAAATGAAATACTTGTCTATTAATCAACATACACAGAAAAAATATTAAAATATTTTTACATGTATAACTCATATCCATTGAGTACCCCAATGGCGTTAAGGTTGTCTGACACCAATACAGATCCATTTCGACTTCAAGAGAAGGATGAAGAGTTTCTTGGTGATGAAACTCCATATATTAGTGTTGTTGGGGAACTAATATAACTTGCTAACTATACTTGACCAGATATATGTTATGCAGTGAGTTTACTGTCAAGATTTAGTTCCACCCCATCAAAAAGATATTGGAATGGTGTTAAACACATACTTAGATATCTTCGGGGAACCATTAACATGTGATTATTCTAATTAGATGAATCAAAGTCAGAATTTATTGGTTATGGAGATGAATGATATTTGTTTGATCCGTGTAGAGGTCATTTTTAAACAGGCTACTTATTTACATGTGGAGACACAACAATATCTTGGCGAATAATGAAGCAAACTATTGTACCCCACTTCTTAAAATCATGCAGAAATAATATCATACATGAAGCAAGTTGAAAGTGCACCTGAGTGAGATTATGACCCACCATATTCAGGAAATATGTTTCTTTTCTTTGAAAAAATGTATATCAACCACAATGTACGAAGATATTGTTGCATGTGTATCTCAATTGAAAAGAAATACGTAAAAGGATATCGAAAAAATATATTTTACCAAAGATTTTTATCACACATGATCTTGAACAAAATACTGAGATAGAATTCAAAAGATTTGTTCAAGTGACAATCTTGTTTATTTATTCACTAAGGAATTTCCAACATCAAAGTTTGAAAGTTGAGATACAAGATTGAAATGTGTCGTTGCAGAGATATCAAGTGAAGCTTTCATTCGGAGGGGTGGTGGTGGAGTATGTTGTTGTACTCTTTTTCATTACAATGGTTTTGTCCGAAGATGGTTTTTCCTGGTAAGGGTTTTTTCACGAGGCAATATTTAAAAGAGTACTATGATATGTGTGTACTCTTTTTCCTTCACTAAACTTTTTCCCACTTGTGTTTCCTAATAAGATTTTAACGAGACACATTATATATGGACATCCAATGGGGAGTGTTATAAACCCATTGTGTTACACATGTGGATTATCCATTATATTTATCCAACAAACAATTAGATTCTGTTAAGGTGCTCCCAAGATGATAAGAACTTGTAGGATAATAATGTATCTACTAGTTAGATGACCTTTGAAAGTGTTATCTCAACAATATAAATATAGATATCACTCATTATTTTGAAGACACACATGAATAAGAAAACTTCTTTCTTTCGTACTTTAATTCTTGGCTTCTTATTATTGTATTATATCATTCTGATCTTTCTTTATAATATTTTCATTAATCCATTAGCTTTTTCTTTTTTTAAACCCCTAAAATAATAAAGACTCAGAATACCTTATTTGTTAGTCTATATTGTAGTCCTATAAATCATATTGTGAAAGTTAATTTCAACAAGAACCTAGAAGATAATACAAAGAATTCATGAATTTATTATTTGAACAGAATATTCAAAGAATTCATCAATTTTTATTTTTTTTTATCAATACAGGTCATAGCAAAAATATCGTAAATATATCTTCCTTTTATATTCAAAAAATATTCAATAACATAAAATGAACTATATTTCCCTTTTGGTTATTCCCAAGTTTTTGTTAAAAGTAAAATAGTCATTATTCAAAAGAGTTTGGAAAAATATAAAACCTTAAAATGGAAGGACAAATAAGGGGAAACAATTTGATTAGTTTAAATAACGAAAAAATGTGTAAAATTCATTTATTCAAAATAGAAGAAATAATATTTAATAAAATTTGTGTATATTAATTTTATATAACGGCGCGAAGTGCGGACACATTCACTAGTTACCATTAGAAAAGGAGTGTTGTTTTGCAGTAACGAAAATACTCTAGGACAAAGTATATGAGTTTGGGTTACACTTTTGTCTCGTTTCCCTGAAGAAAAGAAAAAAAATCTTATACTACTTCAAAGAGACAAACACTAGTCTCAAAAAGTTTAATATAATATGTCGACAATTCTCAAAGCAGGGACCATTGATAATTATTTAAAATTTACTAAATATAAATTTATAGATTATTTGAATTATGTTAAATTTATGAATAGATTAGTTCAATTATATATTGTGGATTAAAAAATTGGATTGATTATTTATGTTCAATAAATATGTGTATGTGATGTAAAAAGGATAAAATGGAAAATGCATTGAATAAATAGGGGAATTTGATTATTGTTCAAAATTAAGAGGAACTTAGATTTTTAAAGCAAAATTAGGATTTACCCAAAAAATTAACCCAAAGGGTGAGAAATTTAAATAGTAAAGTAGTATCCTCAACAAAGTCCATATGGTGAAATGTCTAGTGATTGGTTACAAAACAGAGATTACCGAAATGGTTGCTTGGCCATTAGTATTCTATGCAAAACACTTTAACCAAAAAATTAAATTATTTTCCTCATTTTTTCTATCTACCCCACCTAAATCCATTTTTATTTTGGTAAATGTCCTCTAGTATATTCAATCTCTGCCTTTTTTTTTTGTTTGCAGAAGTTTCACATTTTATTTTTGTAATTTACATTTATTCACTTTCAAATATGAAAAAACTAGTTACTAAGATTCCAATGAAGGTGGTACAGATAGCTACTTTCATATTTATTTTTTCTCTTAAATATATTTGAAATATGAATTTTGTAGAAATCCACAACCTGTGAAATTGTACCCAATGATATTATGTTGTTTCTCTGTCTCTCACAAGCACATTTGATTTGGAGGTGAGTTGATTTTTTTATATAATCGTGGTGTCCGAGCCTCAAAGAAATAAAACTATTTTATTGTTTACATAATTCTGGTTTATGTTATGTATAATTTCAGTTTTAAAGTTATATCAAAGTTAATTTGGGTTCGCAAATTTAGGATTTGAAATAACTTTGTTACTCTAGAGTTATAAGGTAAAACAAAGGATTCATATAGGTGACGAGAATTAATTTGAGATTTAGAGGTAGAAAGAGGAATGGAAAACGGTGAAAATGTTAATTTTTTAATGTGTTCCCATATAATGTTAAAATCACCCTTTTATTGCCATTTTTGGTAAATCAAAGTTTGTACGTTTCATGGAACTTAGTATGAAACCGAAAGCTGTAGCTTATACGTCAATGCATTTAGTGAAAACCCTTTGTAACCAGGGTTCAAGTCTAGGCGAGTGATTTATTTGCACATCTGATTAAAAGCTTGGGTTGATCGAGTTATGTGGTGCATGTATTTGTTGGAAGCTAAGCAGCAGTTACCTAGTGAGTAGGTCTAGAGTATGCAAGGTTGCTCGGGCACCATAGTAATGAAGAATGATGAAACTAGGAAAATTGCATTGAATAATAATCATACATATTTTTGTTGAATGTTTGTCATTTTACAGGAGAAGGATTAGCTTGAGTTGTGTAACTATAAAATGGAGAATGTGAAGCGCGCAAGAAAACATTCTGATTCTTATTTATCAGCTTCGTCGTCCTCTGATTCTTCTCTCGAACTAAGTACTCATCCAAAGGAAGACAATGCTGCGACTCCAGCAGCCTTGTCTTCCCCTGATGTTTCAGCTTCTCAGGCACCTCAATGGAGCATGATAAGTTCATCTCCGCATGAAGAAACAGGAAATCCGTTATTTGCGCAGCCAATAAAATCCCCTCCTCCGTCTATAGATCATCCTCCAGGTTATGATCCTAATCGTATTCCAAAATCCATATTTTCGAGCAAACCTACGACCACAGACTGGAGTAGTGCTTCAAATGAGTCATTGTTTAGCATTCAGATGGGAGCCAGTAGCTTCTCTACAGATTACATGTTACCTAAATCAGGAGAAGTACAACCTGAGGAGTGGAAAAATTCAACAGTCAATCCATCTGAAATTAAATCCAACGAAAATAAGAGCTTATCTTCACCTTCTCCCCACCCTCTTATGGAAGATAACAACGATGGGAAAAGTACAAGACCTTTCGAATTAGGTCCTGGTATAAACCTTAAAGAGGAAAAAATTATGAATAATAATATCATACAAAAAGCACCTACAAATATCGAGCCTACCTTCAACAAGTCTGATGATAGAGTTAATCCTCCAATTGAAGAAACTCATATTTCGTCACCTGTTCATGCTTCTTCACCTTGCTACTCCGAGGCGAGTGGAAATAGCAGCAAATCATTTGTTTTCCCAGTGTAAGCTCCATCTCCTTTCAGGATTACATATAGATTTTTGTATGGTACATGAACAATTCTGTCCTACTTCACAATTATATATGATAAATGATTATTACCCTTTTGTCAATTAAACATCTAGGACATAAGATTAAAGAATCAACTTATTTTATCATCAAGAAACATAGAATTTTCACTTGCTTTTTTTTTTGGTTATGTACAAGTGTGTATGAAATAAATTTGATTATTTTTTCTATATTTTAGACTAGTAAATGATGGTGGGAAAAGCAACTCGCTGAAAAGTGCATCTGAAAAAGTAGAAAAATCTGAGCCTCAACCTCAACCAGAGTTCCAACCTGATATACAACAACTACAAAAACAATCAGAATCACTGCCTAAAGTAGCTGAGAAAAGTTGGTGTTCATGTTTGACTTGTTGGCCTCGCTGTTGTTGATATATATATGTATATGTACACACAAACATATATGGTTCTCTGTCGAGCATGCAATGACTTAATGAGAGGAACTGAAAATTAGGATTATCTTCGTGGGTGAATCTTGAATTATCTTTCGGCACCAAACAGGCCTAGCCAGTTGCATCACATGAATGAAGTATGCTTTTTTGACCTCATCAAGACAGGTACATTTCATTTGGCCTGAGTATCCACAACAAGGACGTGATCGGGTCATTTTGAGGACGAAATCCTCAATTGTCTGCAGGCAGATGGAGCAACACCACAACTTTGCTAATTGAATCTATCATTATTTTTATAACTTGCCGTTGCTGTAAAACACCAAGCTGAACCTATTACTAATTCTTCCTTTGTATTGTGCCCGCCACTATATAAAAATGATCTTTAGCGGCGATTTATTAGTTCAATTGTCGTTAAATATGTATTTTTTAGCGGCAACTTGCAATCTTTGTATATGTCCCTAACCCCTTAGCGACATTGAATCTAATGACACTTAAATAATGTTGATAAAGACTTTAGCCCTTTATTTATTTGTTGATTATGTGCCGCTAAAAGTTGTATTTTGTTAATAACACATCACTCTAACTCTCCAAGCTCAGAGATGCACTACTATACAACAATTTTTTCTGTTACATGTAACAGGTTAATTTTCGCATTGATATATATAGATTCAACTCGATTTGGGCAACAGTTTATGTTACCTGTTCAACGTCACATATTTCCTTCATCTGCATACATCTTTTCAAGGCCATTTCTTGTAGCAAATTATGGGTAAAGATTACTTTAATCTGCTAGACAATTAACATTATTATGTTTAAGTGCATTGGCCAGATATGTGATCACTTATTTTCTCTCTACACACCATATTAATATATTCTACTTATATATACCATAACTACCGTGTAAAGAAATTTTCGTCCATGGGTGAAATTTTCCATGTTATAGAGAGTTATATGTCTTCTTTTTCAGGATGCTAGTTTCACTTATTATTAACACTTACTG